AAAAAAATAAAAAAAAATAGACAAAATAAAATCTCCCCTCAATTTTCTAAAAGAATAAGAGATGTGTTGAAGTGCAAGTACCTCTGGGCTTTAATTAATCTGTTACTAGCTTCTTTGACACTATCTATATAAAGATCTGATGTCTCACTGATTGGAAAATGTGCTCCAGATCCTTATTGTTGCCTCCTTAGAGGTCAGAGGTAGAAATATAGGTGATATCTAGTAGTTGGGAATAAGTTGTTGTTGCTGTTTGTTGTTGAGGGTCTATTGGAAACAGCCTCTCTGCCTTACAGGATAGGGGTAAGATCTGCCTACACACTACCCTCCCCAGACCCCACTTGTGGGATTATATTGGGTTGTTGTCGTTGTTTATATATATGTATGTATTTAACGTATTTTTCACTTTTAATTTATTTGGTATTGATGATGACATGAGTTGAGCTTAAATGAAGATGGGGGGATTCATGTCGCTGACCCCAAACAAAAAGTATCCAATAGTTTCATCCTGTAGATCTGGAAAACTTTCTTTATGCCAAACAAAAAGTATTCTCACTAACAGCCTTAAAATTGTTAAAGGACAATTCCTCACCTTGATACAAGACCAATTAGGTTTTCGAGTCTAATATCATTTGACGAAGCGATTGTTGGATTCTACATAGAGCAATACACTACAAACTAATCAGCTTTCTATTATTTGTAATGTGTACTGTGATCGCATGTTCGTTAATATAGAAAATCATGGTCTTTTGCAGGTCAAGTTTAGACTGATAGTGTTTCGCCCATTTGTAGGAGAAGTAATAGTTGCTAAACTCAAAGAGTCCAATACAGAGGGTTTGCGCTGTAAGGCTTGCAGACTGTTTACAGTTTATTTCTCATGCAATTTTCCTTTGTTGGAGTTTCTGTCATATATGTTCTGAGACATATTTAGCGAAGTATACTATTAGATATTGTTTTTTCCTAATTGTTGCATTCATACTTTTTGACTTAGGAGATCTTTTCCTAATAGTTCGGCGAGCTTGATAGATTAATGAGTATAAGCTTTCGACCCATATTGCAAATACTTTTTACAGGACTCGGCATTATTAATGAAAGCAATTTGACTTATCAGAAAAGAAACATAGTAATGTCCTGAATAGTTGGCGTTATTAATACAAAAAGAAAAAACTTGATGAATATGCATTTTTCTAGTTCAGAAATTACACAGAGGGAATATTTTAATTCGGTACTTTCCACTTTAGTTTGGCAGAGGATAGTACTTCATCATGAAAGGCTTATTCTCAAGCTATCATTTGCAAAAATCATGCGCTAGTATATATTTTCCTTTTCATTAAGTTTCTTCCATGATATATAAGGCGCATTTTAATGGATAAGGGTAATCTCTCAGAAAAAGGCTTCTTAATGTTCGTTCAATTTTACGTTTGGCAGTGTCACTTGGATTTTTCAATGACATTTATGTGCCCCCACCTCTAATGCCATCTCCATCACGTTCTGAGCCTGATCCTGAGAACAAGTAAGTGTTTTCTTGTATCAACATCTAATTTTGTGGTGCGATTGCATCTACTGCTTGGTCTTTCTCAATCATACATCTTAAGTTTCTTTGCATATGGGTTTTTATTGTCTATTTTAGGAACCAAGTCAGATGGATATGGCAGTTTGAGGGACAAGATGAATATCCTATTGATGGCGTAGATGAGGTTTTTAGACCTAACAACTTTGCTATATTGCACCGGCTTGTCATATGATGTACCCGGAAATTTTGACATTTGATTATATAAACTGCAGATTAGGTTCCAAGTTCATAGTGTTAGTTATCCATCCGTACCTCTTGAGCAAGAAAAAGATTCAAAGCCATTCGCACCAATGGTCATAAAGGTCCGTCAAATCTTTTATTCCTTCAGTATATTAAAATTTCCGTTCCTTCAATTAAAATGATATAGTCCCATCGCTATTAGCTGGTTAAGTGGTTGTAATGCCCGAGATGCATTGGATTTCTAGTGCATCTAAACTATGTTGTTTGGACTCTCCGAAAATATTGCCGAGCACGTGTCGGATCCTCCAAAGGTAGTGCATTGTTAGAGGATTCGACACGGGTGCGGCAACATTTTGGAGAGTCTGCGCAACATAGCATCTAAATATGTAAAGGCTTTATTATTGATTGTGGAGAAACTGTTATTAGGTTGTGGAAGCTTATCAAGCTTCCTAAAATATATGCTACTCATAACGAATATATCGTCGAACCATGCTTTTGGCATGCTGTTCATTGTAGATGTGACTTATGTAAACTCTTGATCAGTAATTACACCCGCTCCACTGGTGTGACAACTGCCGTTAAAAATAGGGTGTTAACTCAGTGGTCGATTATAGAGTTTTTGTCGCATCATTTACTTCATTTTTTGCAGTTTGGTGACTTGAAGGTTGAACTTCTGAATTTTTGATTCATATGAGTTTAAATTCTGTTACTCAGTTATAAAGAAAAAACACTCTTGCATAAATTGAAACTTCAGCGTTTAATCTTGGAATTTTGGATGACGCAACGTTGTTTTTCAGTCGCACTAAGCAGTATAAAAAATGGAATGCGGATCTTCAATACGCATGAGTTTGAAAAATTCTCCTATGTTATTCTACTTTCTATAGACTGAGGAAAAGCAGTTTAATTTATGCTTATTTTTATTGATTCTGGCATTTTTTCTTGACTGTACATTACCAGGGATCTCTTGATGCTGATGGTTTAGGACCCATTTCATGGTGGATATAGCAGAAATTACTGTAAACTCTTTGACGAAGGGGAGCCTTGGAACAACGGTAAAGTTGTCTCTGCATGACATATATGTTACGGGTTTGAGCCGTGAAAACATTCACTAATGCTTGTATTAGGGTAGGCTGTCTATATCACACCCTTTAGGGTGCGGTTGTTCCCCGACCCTGCATGAATGCGGGTAGAATCTTTGACAATAAACTATATAATTTATTTTTTGTTGATAGAGAGAAAAACAGTGACTGTAATTTTGTCATCCTTAGAAAGAAGCAAAATGAGCTCTTTGTGTTACTTCAAATCTCTTAGTAGGTCCTCAGTACACTCTTTTCAGAAAGGATGATTCTGCTACTTATGTGTTTCTATTCCTATTTGTGAAATCATTAATCTATAAAATACATGCATCATGATATGCTGCCTACATCAAACCCTCTTGGAATGCGGCCTTTCTCCGGACTCTGCGCAAACGTGGGATGCTTCTGCACCTGACTGCCCTATAAATATATGTATGATTTTGTACATATAGATAAATTCTATTAAAATATTGTCTGTCACACTATATTTCTACCTACACAAGGTAGGGTAAGGTCTGCATACACATTGTCCTCTCCATACCCTATTTGTGGGAATAAATTGAACGCTATTTTCATACATGTGGAAATTAAATCTTAGTACTGAAATTTTTACAAATTTTATTTCAGTATAATAGATCAAAAGCTGCCAACAGTTGAGAATTTTGGGAGAAGCTCCTTCACTAAGTACTCAGTAATGTGGTAATAAGTTGATTCAGTCGGATGAATACTGTCAAAGAAAATATATAGTGAAGTATCTGTACACACAGGAGATTTTGTTGTACACAATGGTCCTGCTTCTAATAATCCAGTTCCACAACAACCTTTTTTAATTTCTTCAAATCCTGTCATAATTATGTAAAACAAAAAGTATTTTTGATTAATAAGAATGAAACAAAAAAACAAGGAAAAAGAAGAAGACAGCTTCTCTAACTGTTGGATAATATTCATGATAAATGCTCAAACGTTAAGAATTATAAGAATTAAGGAGTTATTTGGTTGGGAAACAAGTTATCCTAGGATTAATTATACCGAGATTATTATCCCACCCTCTCATAGGGATAAAAATAACGCTATAATCCCGGGATAACTAATCTCGGGATTAGTTATACACGATTTTATCCCAACCAGACATAGGATAAACTAATCTTAAATTTAATCCCGAGATTAATTTTTCATTATCCCTCGTACCAAACGAGTTGTTAAGTGAATGGCATGAAGGCTATCACAAGGTCCGCCTTAACATAATTAAATTTCGGTAGAGACAAAAAATACTAGATTATTTTTTCCCATATATCTAAGTCTTGGTTAAGGGAGTTATTTGATACCTGTGTTGACGGTGGGAGATAGCAGGTACCCAATAAATTTAGTCAAAGTGCATGCAAATTGGTCTTTGGTTGAACCAAAAAAAAAAGAAGAAGAAGAGTATCAGTGTACCTACCATTACCATATAAGGGATGAACTGAGTTAGAAGCATATGCTTTCTTTAACGATAGCTGGTACCGAACAATCTGAAAGCTATCTAAAAGGCTCAAGATAAATACTTCTTCATCCTTATCTACCAAAAACTATGGCAGAGTGGTACTTCTCCATCATTAACCAAAGGTCTCGGATTCGAGACTGGTTATGAAGGTGTCTTTACTAAGGAAGGCTTTTCCCTCAAAGTGAAATTTCGAGCGAGAATTCGAATTAGTTGAATTCTAAAGCAAGTACCGAATATCGGATGAGAAACAAAAAAACATTGAAAGCTTACCATATTCTTGTGGATTATTGATGAGGTCTGATATAGGAGTGTAGATGTCTGCATACAAGATTTTGCTTCCTGGGAGTTGTGATTGTAAATTTGGCAGCAATTTCTCAAGCTTTTGATTATAGAATTGAGAATCTGAATTCTCTTTTTCTAAGCAAATTCTATGAAGTGGAGATTTTGCTGTCATTTGAATTGGAAGACAACCAATTGGAGACAGCCCACTCACTATAATTTTATGACATCCAAGTTCATAAAGTTCCTGTTAAAATAAGGTAGAATATTGCATGTCACAATAATAATATACAACAACAACATATCCAGTATAATTTCACACGTAGCGTATGAGGAGGATAGTGAGCATGCAGCCTTACCCTTACCTTGTGCCCGTAGAGAGACTATTTTCAATAGACGTTCGGCTCGAAGCAAGCATGCATAATCGCAACAGTATAGAAAAAGAAATACAGTTGTAAAAAAGTCAAAGAAATAGTAACAACAACAGTATAATAGAAAATGAAAACAAAAGCAATATCAGGTAATAATAGAAATGTCACAATATATACGAGTTTAAATGATATGTACTTACGACATAAAAAGCATTTATAAAATTAAATTAATAATGAGGTAATTATAAGTAAATTTGACTATTTGGTGTGTCCTATCAAATGAAACTATAGATCTCTATTAATGTAATGCATGTTTTATGACCTTTTTCTCATAAGTGTGAATCGAATACCAGATGGTTAAACAAAGAAAAATATTGAAGTTAACCCAATTAAGAATCTGAATTAACAAAAAAACATAAATCCTTTTATTACCGATGGTATTCTGCTCGAGCCAAATTGGTCAGACGATGACTACTTCACTTATTATTTTAGTAATAAGGCACCTATCCCAAAATGAAATGGGATAGAGTGGAAAAAACGCGAAGGGCTAACAATATTAAGTCGTTTTTCTCGAGGGGATAGGCTTGTGAAGAAGCAAGCTTATCCCCACCTCGACCGACAACTTGCTAGGTTTCCCCGTCGCTTCTAACCTTTCTCCTTGTCTTTGACCCAAGCTGTATGAGGTAAAAACTCGTCGGTTTTGCTCCTCGGAATAACGCGTATTTTTAGTAGTGTAAAAGGGCAGCCCGGTGCACAAAGCATTCTACATTCATGCAGGGTCCGGGAAGGATCACACCCTTAGAGGTGTAAAAGAGACAACCTACTCTAATGTAGGCATTAATGACTACTTTCATGACTCGAACCCATGACTTGTAAAACATACATGACGGAGACAACTTTACTGTTGCTCCAAGGCTCCCGTCTAGCAATGTAAAGGATCAATTCAAGAAAAGTGTACATTAAATAAGAAGAGAGGGATGTGATAGATAATAACCTTGACAAAAAATTGCAGCTTGTCTAGCAGAAAATCTTGGTACTCATTCATGTTAAATTCAACCCTTCTTGTTGGAATATCATAAAAATTAAAAATAAAATCATTACTCCCTGAACTAACAATAACCAAAGCACCTTTCACTATTTTTTCAGCTTCTTTTTCTTCAAAATACCCTTTCAATTTCTCCAAATATTCTTTAAAATATTCCAATTGTTTTCTCATTGGAATTACTCCAGAAATTGAACTTGTTAAATCATCATATCCTGAACCAGCTGATGCAAAACAAACCCCAGTTTTTAAATCATTAGCCATTAAATTTGGCTGTAAATATGGTGGCACACCATATTTTTTTAACTTTAATAAAAATGCTAATATATCTGGTACAAGTTTTCCATTTGAAAATCTACCTGTTGGAATAGGGTTATAATAGTCTTTTCCATAGGGTGGGTGATTGCCTTTAAATAGAGTGAATATATAGTTGTTATTTCCAGTATCAACTGTTGAATCACCAAAAACAAGAATTGATGTGAATTTTGGAATGGTTTGGCTTTTAATTGTATAATTACACAATAAAAGGGCTAAGAAGAACAAGAAGAAAGATTTTGGTGCCATGGCTTTAAAAGAATTGAACAAGAATTTATAGTTTTAATATTCCCTCCAAGGGTTCATGGATTTTTGATGGTTTAAAGACATGTGGTTATGCACACAATTGTATTCTATATATAGAGTCATATATTTACTATTTTTTATTTTTTATTTTTAAAAGTAACGTCGTTATGAATGCTTAGTTGTTACATGCCAGTTATCCCTGTGATAACTTTTGTGACATCTCTAGCTTCGAATTCTGAAGGTCTAAAGGATCGTTCGATCACGCTTTTACCGTTCGTTTTCATACTGAAATCAAAATCAAACGAACTTTTACCCTTCTGTTCCATATGAGATTTCTGTTCCCGTTGAGCTCATCTAGAATACGTGTGTTATCTTTTAATAGATGTGCCGCCCCAGCTAAACTCCCCACCTGATAATGTCTTTCATCCTGATCGGCCTGCAAGCCTCGGGTCCCAAAAGAGGGGCAGTGACTCCCCCTCCCTTCCTACTCACAGAATAAGTAAAATAACATTAAAAGCCAAATACAACCAGATCTCTCTATAAGAGCATCGTTTGTTTCGACATTTTGTGATTGCTATAGTGAAGTGTTGTTATTGAGAACATATATTATAACATAATATTAAAAATGATTCCTAAGAAAACTTGACTGTTATAATAAAGGATTGATATAGAGGAAACTGTTATAATCTTTTGTGTGGTGCAATATTGGAAAAAGAAAGATATATGTAAAGGAAATTGTTTCCTAAAAGAAAGTAACAGTAGCAATTTNTTCTCCTCTCTTTTAAATTTATTTTAACAAACCAAACAAGAACACAAAGTTTTCCTTGCTTACCTTCCTGCCCTTTGCAGCTTTGCTAGTTATAAATAAATTAAAAGATATATATATATATATATTTGAATGCTTATTTGATGGAGAAAAAAGGTTACTTTTCTGGATTATTACGTTCTAAGTTTTTTTCCTTTTTGATTACTTCTGAAATTGGCTCAGAATTAAGTTTCATGCATGTGGCAATGTTTTACAGAATACAGTAATCTTAAAGGATTTCTGATTAAGACTTGAGTTTCTTTTATACCTACTATACTGTTAAATTTCTTTTATACCTACTACTATTAAATGTGAAAAAAAAGCTACAATTTCTTCCCTTGCTTTATAAGGAAATGTTTTTTTTTGTACCTACTATATTTACAGCTTGTTTTTTTGGTCATGATGTCCAAAAGATACAGTAAAAACATAGGTCGCTTGATGATAGGCTATAATTGTGTATTTTAGTCGCTTATTACACTCTAATTTACTGCACTTTAATTGAGTTTGAGCTTTAATCGCTAGTGTTTTGCACTAAATATGTGTTTTATGCCTTGTAGGAGTGATTCCGAGCAATGTAGATGTTATGGAATGAATTCAAGTGATTTGGAGCTTTGAAGTCTGAGTAAAAGCCCAAGGAATTAAGCCGGGATCGTGTTCGGGGATCAACGGATGATAGTAATTAAGAACGAAACGGAGAATCGAGCGGGCATACGACGCATTGTCTAGTAAAATGCACATAGCTTTTCGCTCAGAACTCCTTTGGGCTCCACAATAAATCCTTGGAAAGCTATTTGAAAGAGCTACAATTTTCATGTTTTGCATTTTCACAAATTCTCAGTACCGCGCCGCATGGGGCGCCGCAGAGTGCGGCGCAGCAGTGTAAAAGCTGGCATGACAAGAAAATGCAAGGCTGCTGATAATCTCCACCAGCACGGCGCAAGGTGCGGTGCAGGGTGCAGCGCACCTGTACAAATTTTACAGAGCCAGAGTCCTATTTCGCGCAGGAAAGGGTGTTTCGTCTGGGCCCGACCCTACTTGGTATAAATACATATAAAAACTATATTTTGAGGACTTTTGAGACATCTTAGACCTAGGGGGACTATTTTGAAAGGGAGAAAACGGTTGGAACATTCGTTGGAGGAGGAAATCATTGAGTTCTTCATTCCTTCATCTTTGCTTTGTAATTTGTTTATGCAAAATACTTGGAAAATTGTTGCTACGAACATGAGTGGCTAAGCACTCTAATTTCTAGGGTTGTGGTTGACATGATTATTAACGTTTATTAATTACATCTTCGTTAATTCGGATTATCATCTTGTGGTTGTTTCTCTAATTTTGTGCATAATTGCTTAATTGTCTGGTCAGCAGTTGAGTTCTATTAACTATCTATGCTATGCTTGGGAAAACCATGTTTAGATTAGAGTAGAATTAAAGAGAGTTTGTTTCTAAACCCGTGGCTCGGGGGAAGATTTTACTGTTAGGACAGAAATATACCTAATAATCTTGCTTAATTAAATACCGTATTATATTCGTTCATGATAGACTCAATACCATAGGAATATATGGTTGATATATTGTGGGCAGACGAGTAGTATTATTGAAACATGCTATTCATATAAAAGATCCGATTAATTAGCAACCATAGATAATCTGGAATAACGAGTGTGATTATTGAACTTAATAGGATTAATAAACTAACCACAACCCTGAAATCTTCATCTCCTCTGAATTAAAGTCTCATAATACCCATTTGCATTCTTGTTGATTTAGTTGATATTTGTTTAATTTCCGCAATAGTAGACTAATAGAAGAACATCACTCTTGATTATCTTGGACAATTAATTGATTTTAGCTTGCTTAATTAACGATCAATCTAAGACTCTGCGGGTTCGACATCCGACTTTCGAGTCACTTTATTACTTGACGACCATGTATACTTGCGTGTGTTTTTGGTCCCAACAAGTTTTTGGCGTCGTTTCCGGGGACTTAGTTATTGATTGTTTAGTTAAGTTAAGCTTTTATTCGTTATTTGTTCAAGTTTTAATTTTTTTTAGCTTGCTTTATTTGTGATAACGCAGGCTCTTCTCTTGAATGTGAAGGAGTAAAAGCGCAAACAATCTCCTTCATATTGATCCTGAAATCGAACGAACACTTCATAGAGTGTGGAGGGAAGTGGAAGTTAGAACTAGAATTAAAAGAGAGTTGGACATTGTAGTTCAACCACAGCCAATAGAGATGGCAGGTAATGAAGAGCGCCCGGTGATAGAAGCCGCAAGGCCCAATCTGGCTCTTATGACTCAAGCGATTATGAAGCCTGATATTACGGGTCACTTTGAACTGAAACAGTACATGGTACAACTGATCCAATCCACAAGGCAATATGTAGGTCTATCTCATGAAGACCCGCATAGGCATATTCAGAACTTCCTGGAAATTACAGACACTTACAATTATCCAAACATTTCCAAGGACTATGTCAGGCTGACACTGTTTCCTTTTTCATTGATAGGGGAAGCTAAGAAATGGTTGCAAAAGGAGCACGCAAACTCAATCAATACTTGGGATGATCTAGAAAGGAAATTCTTAATCAAGTTTTTTCCCACTAAGAAGACAAAGTCGCTGAGGAGCCAGATTTTTGGGTTTCAATAACGAGATGGCGAGACTCTTCGTCAAACTTGTTAAAGATACAAGAAGCTACTTAGAGACTGCTCACATCATTGTCATACTGATGAGGTATTGGGTCACACTTTCGTTGATGGGTTGGACGAGGCATTAAAGATGAATCTTGACTCAGCATGTGGGGGTTAGTTGCATGGCAAGACCGTATAGTGAGATCCATATCCTGCTAAACAATTTCACTACTCATGATAATAGTTGGCAAGGAGATGGGGAACCACAAAGAGCACTTAAACAAAAGGCAGCAAGTGTGATTGAGCTTGATAATTTCTCAGCCATGAGGGTAGATATAGCGAGATTAGCAAATCAGATGAATAAAATGACAATGCACCAAGTGTCACACCTCCTTTTGCGCGCCCCGCCCCGAAGGGTAAAAATGTGCGAGGGGAGTTTTTCCAATTTAAGTGACAATATTCGAAATAGGATTATTTATTTAATTCAGAGTCGCCACTTGGGAAAGGTTTGGCTTTTGGTGTCCCAAGTCACCGGTTTATCTTGAATCCCAA